GAAAAATGTTACTGAGAAGTAATTCCTCAATTGGGGTTACACACACAGCAAAAGCGTTGCCTCTCGACTGTAAAACGAACAAAAAACACTTGGCAGGACCCTCCTTAGTAACAGTCTTGAGACTCGGTGAGGCTTTTCCTGGGTAATAATGCAAGCGTCAACACAATTATAATTACATTCACAAAGCTAGGCTCTCTCGTGCGCACAACCACTTTTAAAACTATCATTCGTCCGATGCTGCTTTTGAAAATGAGTACGTAAGCGTGCACATAATTATTACACAGAGGCAATTAAAATGTACGGAGACAGCGCGGAGCTTACGGTGTGTGTTTTAAAACAATTCGCCGTTTGCTGTTCTACTCTTGCGCACGGCAGCGATTTGTTTGGGAGCGAGACGCCAATGTCGAGGTCTGCTACTCGCCACGACGAGAAGGCTTCAGGAGAGAGAGAGAGTTGGTGCCGTTCTACGCTATACCGCATTGTATAGCGCAGACGATACAATGCACGCGGTATTGCTCATACAATCGCACTTTTCAACGTGGAATTCCAGCGACTGTGGACGATGGCGTGAGATGTTTGCGGGCACAGCGAGGGTGGCGGTGATCATAGCGGCGGCAGGCCGCAGTGGGGGCGAGCGTGGTGGTGACACCGGGTCCAGTCACGTGGGCGAGCGTGGTGGTGACACCGGGTCCAGTCACGTGGGCGAGCGTGGTGGTGACACCGGGTCGAGTAGCGCGGGCGAGTGTGATGGTGATACCGGGTCCAGTCACGTGGGCGAGCGTGGGCCAGGCCATTGTTCAGGCCATTGTGGAAAACTGGGCGCACCAAAGTTGATACATATCCTCACCTCCCCCCTTCCCCCCTGTATTCGTGTAAGCGCAATTCTCACCCTATTCCTCTCCACCTGCCTGTAGCTCCGATGTTGTTAATAACATGCCTGAGCCCACTTGGGCTCAGCGGAATTTAATAACCGAATACCGATTTATGTTCGTGCGATATTTTCGATGTCTCTCGTGAAGCTGCGCTTGTTTTTTCGTTTTTGCCCACATTCTCTTTTTTGCTGTATCCGTGCTACAGACTGCCTCGCTTCACCTCTCTTTGTTTTAGCTTTCGTCGCGCTGTTGATCCGGGCTCGCTCTTGCGCTTGAGCCTCCTGCCCTGGCCTTATGGTCTCTCACGCAGTCACACCGAAACCCAACCTGACTTGGCCTTGGTCATAATCGGTGCATGGGACTCGCCCACCGCCTTCAACTATCCATACGACCACGGGGAGAACGTGTAAACCCCAAATATAGAGGTGTGAGGGTCGCGATCGAACCCACGACCTTATGTATACCAGGCAAGGTAGTTAACATCTCGCCACCGGGGCACCCTGAGCGACCACAAATTGTTTTTGGTCCGCTGCTTTCCGGTGTCCCCGGAGAAGTCGGCCACCTCACCTCAACCACCCGGCGAGATTCCCCTCGCGTGCGGTGAGAGACGGAGTTGAATTTCGACTTAAAGCTTTCGTGACTGCAGGGATTCATCTTCTTGGTTCTTTCGGTAAAGTCACGTAGAAAGAACCAAGAAGACGGAGTTGAGTCGCCCCGATGCGAGGGCTCCCCGCCCAATCACCCAAGGGGCGAGAAGGGCCCCCAATCAACGCGTCCGGTGAGCGGGGATGCCTGGGCGTGCGACATTTCTCGACGCATTTTCAGTGCACGTGACCTCTCAACGTCCGTTTTTGCCGCGTTTGCAGCAGGCAATGAACGCGCAGCGGCTGCTATGATCCGAAGACCGCAGATGTTTTGAACGCGTCGCCGAGACGTCTCGAGTTGACTTGAATGATCTTGTATTTGATGTTGTCATTTTTTTTTTTGACCAGGTGTTAACCGCGGTCGGGGATGGAGCGGTGGCTCGGTGGTCGGCGCACCGTGCTGTGAACCGGTGACCTGGGTTCAATTCCTGGCCACGGGTAGTCATCTTCGGTGAGTGGAGATCTGAGCAGTCGCCTGCCCACCCCCACCCGTTTCACCAACTCCCACTGACCAGCACAACAACCGCCATTCGCTACCAAGTGGCAGTGATGTCACCACTGTGCGTGTGCCAGGGCACGTACACGTTAAGGCCACGTGAAAGTGTCGAAAGCCCGCTGGCAGGAGGTCACGGAGCAGAACCAGGTGCTATGGGTCAACTGACTGATATGACTAGCCGATGCAACACCTGTGCCCCCTACTGTGCCAACTTGCTGTGTTTTAGCCCCTGGCACTCTGCTCGTTGTTGTGAGCGTCCCTCCTCTGCCCTCCGTTGTTGCTGGAGAGAGAATGCCTCCAACTGCCCAGTAGCAACATCCTTCACGAGCCTCCTCTACAGAGGCCGATCTTGACACGGGTGGTACCAGTCATCGGCAAGTCCACTCAGCTCCACGTCCTCTTGTACAACATCACGCCATCTCTTCTCTAGCCAGTGCCGCGTCCGTTTAGTCCCCTCTATGAAGGTCCTTAATGATTCTGAGCAGAGAGTCAGGGACTCGGAAAGCACGAAGAACAACCCAGAGCCCAGGCCTACTGATGATATCATAGGCCTTGACCAGGTCAATGAAGCAGAGATGTAGGTCTTGTTGGAATTCCCTACACTTCTGCTGTAGCAGACGGATAGAAAATATGTCATCTGTGCAGAACCACCTTTTTCTGAAACCACATTGGGGCTCTGCAAGGCTCTCCTCGGCGTGCCTGGCAAGGCGATGTTGAATAATCCTTGCCAGGACCTTTCCCAGCACACTGAGGAGTGAGATGCCCCTGTAGTTGTTACAGTATGTGCGGTCCCCCTTCTTAAAGAGGGGGACGATCAGGGCATCCTTCCAATCCTGCAGAACCCATACAGTGTTCCAGACTGTTATTATGATGTGATGTAGGGTAGTCTGAGCACAAACCTCACCCTTCCTCCCCCAAGATCTGCTCAGCAAATCTGTAAACCTCTTCCTGGGGGTCGGAGATTGGATCACCGTTCTTTCCCCTAATGATGGTGATAGGTGTGGTGCTGCAAGTTACTTTATCGATGGAGTTAAAGAGTGATTTGTGTTCGCGGGCCACTGAGGAAGATTCCATCTCCCTCAGCAAGCCGCAACTACCACCCATCCCTACAGTGCCTCACGGCTCTCCAAAACTCCGAGCGCAGGCTGCGGTAAGCCTCCTTATTCTCTGATGTGGGATGCTGTAGATGGTGTGAGTGGGCCTGTCACTTTTTCTCAGCCAGCCTGAATACCTCCTCTATCAGCCACAGTCGTAAACCTTGCCCATTTCCCCTCGGCATCAGGAGTGAGGAACGATGCCAACCCCAGTTGAAAGCGATGATGTAATTCTTGCTTGCAACTTTATTCAGTTAGCTGAGACCAGGCTACTGTGGGTTTGAATGGGGTCCTGGGTGTGCACCCACCACCGGAGTAGAAGAAATGCAGGCGCATCTTACGGGCAGATCAGCTCCACGGGAGGTCCTGGTGTCAAGGACATGGGCCCGCATCTGCTTTTCCATCACTATATAGTCCAGCAGATGTTCTTGCTTGGACCTGGCGTGCATCCATGATGTTGTATGGGTACGCCAATGCAGGAACAGTGTGTTGGTAATTACAAGCCCATGGGCTGCAGAAAAGTCTAGAAGCCTTCTACTGTTATTATTGAGCTGATTCGGCCCATGCATTCCAATCACTCCAGACCAGGTGCAAGCAACATGACCAACTCGGGTATTAAAGTTACCCAACAGGATGACTCTATCCCGAGGGGCCATTTAAGCTAGCACCTGTGGCAGGAGGTCATATAATGCATCTGACTCATCGGCCTTGTCTGCATCCCTCCACTGATGTTCATCTTCGGTGGGGGCATGAGTAACCATGACCACCACTCCTCGCCTCTGGTTGATACGAAGGCGAGCCCAAAGTAGCCTGGGTCTTACAGCTTCTCACACCTCACCGCCACGCTACCACACCCCCTTCATTCTTTTTTTAAGAAGAAGACCCACTCCCTGTTATTTGACAGTTTCCTGCCCCGAGTAGAGGACTGTCCACACCTCATGGTGGCAGGAGCCAGAGCCGGTCCACCGGACCTCTTAACACCACAGAGATCCGGGCAGTACCAGGTCCAGCTCTCAACAGAGAAGTGGCAGCCTCTCCACCGCAGTGAGCGTTTGAACATTCCACGTGTCCACCCGCAGTGGCTTTTTGCTGCTTCTGGAGGAACCCAAAGGGTAAGGATTCAATCTGCTGGCTCCGCCAAATGGGGTTTGGCCAGGAGACGTCATAGACACCTGTCCCCCCGGGGCCATTAGCACAAGCTTAGCTAGATAATTTTTTCATGGTTTAGTGGTAATTAATTGAAGGTGGAGGCATTACCAGTCCCGCACACCCATCCAGAGCCCCCTTTGATCGCTGTGGTGGCTGCAAAGCGCCATGAGGGTAACGGCCACTACAACATTACCGTCCGGCACCAACGAGGAGGTAGAGGGTTGTTTTGCCTGACCAGTGTGGTGAAGTATGGCCGGCACGCCATGGGGTAATGATCATCCACCATTGCATTGACAAACGGCTGTAGATAATACAATTGTTTTTGTTAATGTGAACCATCATGACACTGGTTGTAACCACCAGCGAAACGTCGCTGCCCAATTGATAATCATTGTGACATCGCTCCCCAACGCAGCACACCGTGGATGCTGAAGTAGTCATGAATTGTCACGTGTGCTGACATGACGACTCTATTCATCAGCCTCCGTCGGGATGGAGGAGGGTTTACGACGCGCATTTTGCTCACCGCGGCAATTTTGACCCCAGCATTAGGCTTGTAAATTCCGATACCGGTGGCGAAAGCCCGCTGCGCATTAAACCCATGCTGTCAAGTTCAGGCCAGAAACTAACGATGCTCCCCGCCCATTTTCACGTCAAATCCTCGCAGGTTCACGCCAACCACCCAACCCGCCCGCCCGCCCACCCACCGACCACCCCGCGGAGGGGTGTAGGGTGGCGGGGGGCGGTAGCAACGCCACGATGGAGTTCCTCGCGGCGCCGTGGAACGACAGCGAGACGTCCGCCACCGCCAACACCACCAATGGCTCGGCGCGGCCGCCCCCTCCGGCCGCCACGCTCGATGCCTCCGAGGCCTCCTCCTCCTCCTCAGCGGCCAAGGTTGCCACCTCGTTGACGCTGGCCGCCCTGGCGCTGGCCACCGTCGTGGTGAACGCGCTCGTCATCGCGGCCATCTCGGCCACGCGCAAGCTGCGCCAGCCCGCCAACTACCTCATCGGCTCGCTGGCCGTGGCCGACCTCCTCGTGGCCGCGCTGGTGATGCCCGTGGCGGCGGCCTACGTGGTGACGGGCGAGTGGGCGCTGGGCGGTGCCCTCTGCGACCTGTGGCTCAGCCTGGACGTCACGTGCTGCACGGCCTCCATCCTGCACCTGTGCGCCATCGCCCTCGACCGCTTCTGGGCCATCACGGACGCGGCCGAGTATGCGCACAAGCGCACGCCGGGCCGCGCCGCGCTCATGATCGCCGCGTCCTGGCTGCTGGCGGCGTGCATCTCGGTGCCGCCGCTCTTCTGGCGCCGGCGCGACCCCACCAAGCCGCGGTGCATCATCGAGCACGACCACGTGCTCTACACCATCTACTCCACGTTCGGCGCCTTCTACGTGCCGCTCGCGCTCCTGCTGGCGCTCTACTGCCGCATCTTCCGTGCCGCCAAGCAGCTCTACGAGAAGCGCGAGTCGAAGCAGCGCGAGAAGCTGAGCGTCAGCGCAGAGAGCGCCGTGAGCCTGGAGCAGCCTCCACAGTCGCAGCAGCAGCAGCAGCAACCGGCCGGTAAGCTGTTCCGGCTGCCGCAGCCGTTCTGCATGTCGGAGACCTCCTCTTCGGACCAGACGCTGGCGCAGGCGGAGCGCTCCGGGCACCACCAGCAGAGCGTCGGCGCGGCGGCGCGGCGCTCCAAGCGCTCGCTGCGCCCGCCCCGCTCCGTGCGCTTCATGAGCGCGCGGCTCGACCAGCGGCGGCCGTGCCTCCAGGAGCGCATCTCGGGCTCGCGCGAGCGCCGTGCCGCCAAGACGCTGGGGCTCATCCTGGGCGCGTTCGTCGTGTGCTGGCTGCCGTTCTTCATCAAGGAGCTCGTGGTGAACCTGTGCAAGTCGTGCGCCGTGTCGCCTGAGGTGGCCGACCTCCTCACGTGGCTCGGCTACATGAACTCGCTCATCAACCCGCTCATCTACACCATGTTCAACGAGGACTTCAAATCGGCCTTCAGGAAGCTCGTGTCCAGGCAGCCGAGGCTGTGAGGGCGCTCTCAGATGGTGGGGCCAGGAGGGATGTGGAGATGGCGAAGGCCGACGAGCCGACTGGCTGGCCGGCTGGCTGACTGGCTGGACGACTGGCTGACTGGCTGACTGACTGGCTGGCTGGCTGAATGGCTGGACGACTGGCCGGCTGACCGGCCGGCTGGCCGACTGGCTAGCCTGCTGGCTGGCTGACCGGCTGACTGGCCGGCCAGCTGGCCTTCGCAGGACTGGAAGTGATGACGGCCGAGGCTAGAGACTAACGGTGGAGTAGGCAGCCAAAGGGATGGAAACGTGAAGGCGTCACATAGGATTTCAGCCGAGGAGATGGAGCGATGGGTTCGGGTCGTGTATGTACGTACGTGTGTTGAACTTCTTTTGCACCGCATGTAGCCAACCGCGCTAATCGGAGGTGCGGGCGGGGGACAACAAACTAAACGCAAAAATCAGTTAGAAAGAAATTAGTTGGTCGATGTAAATGATTTAAAAGTGCATAGCTCCAGTGGCTTTCTCATATCGGAAGGAAGAGCGTTCCAGACGGCCGCAGAAGTGCGTGTAAAAGCGCGCGATGCGGTAACCGTTTTTGTTCAATGGCTAATCAAAGCTCGCCGCTGCTGCGAGAATGACCGGAGTTCACGTGACGAAGGTTTATTCTCCTTGGCGAGATCAGAACCCGGGTCGTGCGCTGCGGGTGGCCGGGTGGATGGTTGCATCGCAGGATCGTGAGAATTGGCGGCGGCTTAGGGAGGCCTCCGTCCAGCAGCAGATTGAGCGCGGCTGATGGTGACCGAAACGTCTTGACAGTTGTATCCTCACGGAGGGTTTATTCTCTACGGAGAGCCCCCGCTGCCTCAACTCACAGCTCCCGTTGCGGAGTGGTAGATGTGCGTAACGAATATCGTCGTATTGGGGAAGGGGATCGTTTTTCGGTTGTCATTATTTGGTATAAATATGCGGGGCAAAAACACAGAAAAACACGTGCTCAGTTTTCAGATATAGCTTAGATGTGTGAAGATGTGGCGAGTTCCTCAGTGTTGAGACAAAACGCGGACTGAATGAGTGCATTTAACGGAGATTGCCATGGGTTGTATGTATGTGTGTACAATGTTGAACTTCTTTCACGCCATTCGTAGCCAACAGTGCTAATCGGAGGTGCGGGGGAACGACAACAAACTTAACACATAAAGCAGTTCTAAAGAAATCCAGAAGTACATAGCACCAGCGGCTTCCTTATATCGGAAGGAAGAGCGTTCCAGACGGCCGTAGAAGTGCATCCTAAATTGAGCGCAATGTGGTGACCGTCTTTGTTCGATGGCCAGCCAAAAGCGTGCTGCTACGAGGATGACCGGAGTTCACGTGATGGTTTATGCTCCTTAACGAGATTAGCAAAGGTATTGTGGTTCATTTGTGGCAAGCACTTTGTGTGTAATGAGTGTCTGGAATATTGCACATTTTTTGCCTCCGAACCCAGATTATCTTGTGAAAGAACCTTAACTTATTTTATTTTTATTATTTTATTAATCCCTGTACATTTCTGTAAAGCTCCTGTTGAGGACAAATGCAGTGTAATATATATGTACATAGACATTTGTAATGGCGTGTACAATGGCTAAGTTATCAGGATTCATAAACAATTCATACAAATAAAGGCCAAGGTCAATATTCTTTGTGTTTTTGTGATTTTTTTCTTGGATAAAGGTGCAGCCCTGCAATTGCCCGTTCGCGGCACTGCTGGCGGAAGGGGCCTCCGTTATTAGAGGGCATTTGGTGAAATCCTCCACGCTGGCCAGACGCTCCTCGGGAGAGATAGGAGCGCCCACACTTCATCCCCACCGGACCACGTGACATTGTCCATCGACGAACACTGCCATGGGTGGACGGAGGAGGTGTGGAGAGGATTTCAGAAAAATCGCCCCATTGTCTCAGCTTGCCGTGCCGGGGGCAATCGAACCGGCGGGCTCGGGATTGCGGCTCCGTTACCCTGAGCGCTCCGGTACGGCGGGATGCTCCTCACTGCAGCGTTAATTAATCCAGGCGTCAGATTCATCAGAATAAGAACCGTTATTTTGGTTCGGTCTGGAGGAATACGATGAGCTATGAAGCACTTTTCTCTCTCGCAGCTCTGCAGTTATGGGCGGGTCGGCGAGTTGCAACAGCAAAACAACTCAAAGACAACGATAGGAGTGAATTTATACATACTATAATGATATTTCACGGTGAAAGCAGCACAACGCTTCCAATCAGAAGCGTGCGAGTTCAACTCCCGGCGAGGGATCAGCTGAGATTGTTACCCATCTCGAGTGAATACAACCAGAACTTTTCGTGCTTTCGTGACCTCGTTCGATAAAAAGGCCGTGTGTTGCTGGCGTCACGGGTCCAAATTTGGCAAGTTTGGGGACGACTTGCAAAGTGCTTGATTGGTAAACACAAAGCAACATCACTCCCTACAGGCAAGATGGTGCTGTGTCCATACTGTGCCACACAGGGGGGGGGGGGGTCCCGTAGGCTAAACGACAAACTACAGCTGGACATTGGAATGATTGACATGCGGTGTACGGAGCTTTGAGTGCCAGAGACGTGTGAGCAAGTGCCCTGTCAATGGAAATCCTTTTCATTCGATGGAAATTCAAAAGCGGTTTTCCTGTGTAGAGACTGGTCCCTCCACCACGAGAATGTGGAATTTGAAACCCCTTGGCTCATGGAGTGCTAACAAAGCTGAGTGCCACCGCATTGCTCAGGGTGCCACGGTGGCGAGAAGATGTTATTTGCCTCGCCTGGTACACAGGAGGTAGTGGGTTCCATCCCGACTCCTGTTGTTGGTATATTTGGAGTCCACGTGGTCTCTCTCTCTCTCTCCCCCCGTGGTGATCGCATGTATTTTTTTTAGGTCTGGGTTCCTCCCGTTTTGCCCTCCACATTGAGAAACAACGCCCATTTATATTACACTGGTCAACACACTTTTTCTGGCATAAGGTATTCCAACGGTTTTAATGTAATTTTGGGGTGCTGATTCCAAATCTGGCATCAGTTTTTGTCTATCACATCAGGTTTTTGAGATATCAAATATTGCATTTTCAATGAAAACTGCAGATGAAAAATATTAAATAGATTTGGATATCTACATAAAATGATATTATAAACACACTATCCTAAAAATACAGCACCATATTTTAACACTAAAGCAGTCACTGACTCGCAACAACTGGCAATCATAAGTGACAGAGTTAATTTCGGGTAAAATAAATGAAAATGGGGTATGCCGATAGCATAAAAATGAGATGTGATAGAGCAACTCTGAGATCAGATTTGGAATCAGCACCCTGAAATTAGTCTAAAACAGATGCACAAGTCCAGGACAGAATTTTTTTTTTGTTGACCAGTGTTATTTGTCTGCTACCATGAATTTGGACGTGTGATGATGATTATGATTATATCAACCACTGCGATGAATTATCATATGTGGCCAAGTCGCCTCTGAAAAAGAGCTACAGAATATCGCTTAGTGGGCATTACCTGGTGAAAAGAATAGTTTAGTTTAGCTTAAGCGGGGGATGCAGCGTTCAGCCTCCGTGGTGAATTGCTGAGCGAGGCTCCAGCCAGAGCCAGAGGGGCTGTCGATATCCCGATGACTCCGTGAAGAGAATCGGATCGCGCTGCCCAGCGAAATCCCGACAGCTCCACGTACGGGAGATGCGTCGTCATAAGCTGCAAGGAGAAGAACACACAAATAATAATAATAACCAACCCGTATTTCAGTGGCTGCGGGTTTCAGTAAATTGCTTTTCTGGCGACACACAGAGCCAGAGGCTACTGGACGGGATTTCAATGGCGGCGGGGATGGGTTGGGTTTTTGCCGGACAGCGGACGGCGTTTTTTTTTATAATTTAACGCGTCATGTGGCTTGTTGTTGTTGTTGTTTTCGCCTGCTCTTAATGAGCGCGCGAGCTGATGCTTTTTGTTATTGGCAAAGTGTAGCAGCTATAAGTGCAACGTTTTTTTTTTTACCCCGTGTCAAAATCAGTTCAGAAATGCACATAATTAGATACAAAACTATAGAATGCCCCCTCATCTACAGTATGTATACCGAGGAGAGTGTTGTGTGACGATAACGATGATGGTATTAACACTGAATAAAATAATAAAATACGAAATAAATTGCAGCCATTCTCAATCTACTGATGGCTGGAAGTCTGCCCACAACGGTCATGGCTAGTATTTTTATTTGTTGACCATACTTCACCACGCCGGTCGAGCGCGATTTGGTGAAAGAGGCAGGGCTTGGCGACGTCGTGGCTTGTCCTGGTGGCACTCACCAGCGATGTTAGCCGTGGCGGTGGAATCAAACTTTAGTTCGAGAGGTTTGGGTGGGCAGTGCGTTAAACCGCTCCCACCGCGCTCCCACCGCTCCCTCCACGCGGCCGCGTGGAATTAAAGACGCGAGACGCAAGCAAACACAACAACAGCGACAACAAACACAACAACAGCGACAACAAACACAACAACAGCGACAACAAACAACAACAGCGACACCAAACACAACAAACGGCTCAGATTTCACATAGTTCTTTTCGTTTTATTATGTTTTATTATGTTTTATTTTTATTATTTTATTACTTCCCTTCTACGTGACTTTACCGAAAGAACCAAGAAGATTCTTTTCGTTTGTTCCAAATGGCAGCGCTGCTCTTCCCACGACAGTTCGAGAAGCACACGGAGTCTGGCCAGAGCTGAAATGATCTCGCGTGGGACCTCACATTTAGATAGAATAACAGAGGTGGGTGGCGGTGGAGTGGTGCGGGGGGGGGGGGGCAATCTTCCTCTCCGCTTGCTTAAAAATCGATAAGCGTAACCGTATTGGTTTCTAAAATTGGAAGGAAAAATTTTCCGCAATTTGTCGCGGGGAAAATATCTGGTGGACGCAGCTGCTTCCACTTGTGAGGCCACCTCGCACCGCTCTGTATTATTATTATCATCTGCGGCATCTGTCATTCCGACGAGGATTATAACGGCCCGGCTCCTTTTGTCGCGGGCGTCCTGGATGCGCCGCAGTGGCTCGGAGATGTCAACTACCTCGCCTGGTCTACAGGAGGTCGCGAGTTCGATCCCCAGGCCCCCTGGCGCCCGCCGCTGTATATTCGGAGTTTGCGTCTCTCTCTCTCTCTCTCTGTCTCTCTGGTTTTGTGGATTTTTTTTTCCGGGTCCTCCAGTGTTTTTTTTCGTTCCTGCACATTTGGAATCAACGTGCGTTTCGAGTATTTGGCCGCTATAATTTTCACGTGCTGATAAGCCACTGCGTTGAGCTATCATTTGTGGCCAGGTCGTTTCTGGAAAAAAATAGTTATATTGCTCAGTGGGCCTTATCTGGTAAAATGAAAGATAGTTTTACGATTTTCTTATAGTTTTGCCAGGAGGTTTTAGCCGCTATTCTGGATTACCAACGCCGCTCAATCATCATCATCAGCAGCAGCAGCAGCCACGGTCAAATCCCGCTGCTGGATGAAGGCCTCCACGCAAATCGTCACCGCCGCCTCACCGCCGCACTCTCTTCACGATGCCCAACAAAAATGCACGCGAGATGATTCCATCGCTCCATCTCCGCAGCGAGCGTCCTCCGATTGGCGCTCCGCTCCGCGGCTGACGCTCGGCCCAAAAAGTCGTTGACCGTCGGCCCTTCCAGCCGTGACGCGTCCCATTGGAGCCCCACTTGGCCCCACTTGGCCCCACTTGGCCCCACTTGGCCGTTGGGAAAAAAAAACTGCGACGGCAATGCAGCTCTTTTATTTCAATCCGTCGCATATTTGTATTCCAAATGCATCCCGATGGCGCCTCGTGTCGTCGCGTCGCGAGTTGAAGAGACGTCTACATTCGGGAGCCTGTATACAGGCAGCCAGCAGTACACCGCCTGTGTCAAACAGCGGCCCTACGAGATGATAGCGATGGAGCTGCTTTCAAAATCACTGCAATGGGCATTTGTCTCCACGCTGGGTAGCAAGCCTTTCACTCGCATGTCTAAAACAACAACTACTACTACGTGTGTCAACCTCAGTGCCAAATTAGGTTAAAATAACACGACGAATAATAATTATGTTTAGTAATCAGCTCGTTACAATTGAATGCGTAGGTCAATAAAAAAAAGGTCTCATTGATTAACTACTCAAATAAGCATCGAGGTGGTTCTCATTATTATCTTTATAAAACTGCGTAGCCGGTGATGGCAATTCCACATTGCTGTGGCAGGGGCGGCGAGCCTATTCGTCGCACAACGACTGGTCAACAATCCCCAAATAAGGAATGACGGGGTGGGCCGAGTCAAACCCTCGACCGGGATTTGAACTCACGAACTTTCCAATTTGCGGGAGCCGCTTTTCTCGAGCGGCGGGTTGCAGCCCGTGACCGGAGTTGGAACCCGGTCCTTCTCGGCGTCAGCTCTGTCAACGTGCACCACGAGGCAAGCAGAGCCACCGCCTTCGAGAAAAGTAGAAAAAATATATAATAATGCAATTTTAATACAGATACAAAGCACTCTGTGGGGACTGCGGCAATCCCATTACAAACAATGAGCCAGAGGATGCCTCGAATTAAATCACGTAAATGTGTTTGTGTGTGTGTGTGGGAAAACGGCGAGTCGTTGGGGGGTTGGTGGGTGGAGGGGGGGG